TTATCAAGAAGACTGGAAGACTTAATAAAAGGTTTGATCGACAGTTGACAATGTTTGATCAGAGCTGGCCATTGGTTTATCCAATGTTGACCAAGAGTTAACTATGGTTGAGAATATAATTAACTAATAAAAAGTGTGCTATCTCTAACGGCTTAAGTTTTTAGATGAGATGGTACATACTTTAACATGGTAGCAGAGCACGCAGAGGTCCTGGGATCAAATCTCATTGTCAACCATATCAAAAAAATGTCCACGTGCTTGAGCCATGAAAAATAATCAGGCCCGTATGTGAGGAGGGAGTGTTGAAGATACAATTAACTAACAAAAGTATGATCTCTCTAGCAGCTTAATCTTTTAGATGAGATGTTCACACACTTCAACAACTACCATTACAGTGTTAGGGATAAGCATGGTCCCACATGCCCCCACTAGCCTCACAATTCATTTAGTTATGTTAGGACTTTTATTATGTTAAAGTACTTGGACTTGGACCCAATCCCATTGTTTAGCTAATAGTATAATTAGAAGTAACGTAGAGTTTTATCTAGTTTTTTATGAATTCTCTTGTGGCCCTGAGGGAGCCTTCCTTAGTGTGAATACCCTTCAATTGAAACTTTCTTGAATACTTCTAGTGTGTATTGTTGTATGAAATCAATTGCTCCTCCCCCTGGATTCTATTCTAGTGACTGAATGTTAATTTGTTGGTTACTAGTCTAAACTTGTGGCTGAATAATTGCTACATTTACTAGAATCTATTATGTCTTTCGAAATTCTATCTCTAATTTCTCATTTCTTCAGTTTTTGATTTCCTTGTGTTAGTTTCGTCATCAGTTGTTTTGGTCCGAAGCTGGTCTCCGGCTTTATGCAAAGGAATTGGAAAGCTTCGATGACTAGAGGTTTCTTTTTATTTTCTGCTATTAATGAAGAGACCTTGTCATTATCTATTGTTTTTACCCAGTTATATAGTCCTCCCACTTAGGTTTTGTAAGGGGATATAGAAGTCTGGTACTACTTATCCTATCACCTTAAGGTTTTAAGTTTGATGCTCAAACAATTTCACATGGTATAAATATTTTTGGCATGAATATCGCACTCGTAACATTGCATTAATGTCATGTGTAAATCCCAAAATCAGGTCACACATGGTATAAATAGTTGCCCCACATTGATTGTATAAAAAGTTCCCAAAAGGGTATATAAACTCAAAATCATAACCTTAAGGTTTGCTGGAGTGTTGTATAGTTTAATTTCCATAGTAAATAAGGTAAACACGTATGGAAGGGGATATAGTTTAGATTAGAGTTTAGACAAGTGGAATAAAGTGTATATACTGACATAGAGGTCATGCTCGGCATAGTCAAAAGCGAGATAGAGAGACATATCTGCCTGGTTGATATGCACATTGACAAGCTTTACAACATTCTCATGGGATATCTCCCGAAGCAACTGCATCAAGATTGTCGTTGTTAATGATATAGTGTTTACTAGAAACAAAAAAGGGGAAAGTGGGATAGAGAGAGAGAGTGGGAACCATGATTTCGCGAATGGCGGTGGGGGAAACGCCGTCACCGTCCTTGGATTGCTTGAACTTCTTGATAGCAATAGATTTGCTGCGGTTAGCTTTGATCTTAGCCAAAAAAACCAACCCGTATGTCCCTTCCCCAATTTTCCCTATCAAATCATACTGTTGCAACCACTCTGGCCGATTGCTATTGGAATTGCCTCTGCCATCTCCCATGGCGATCAAATATTGTTGACAGACGAGATTTTGAGCTTTGCCGTCAACAAAGAGGGCTAAGGGAGAGTGTCTTTTTTTTTCATTTTTAGACAAAAGAAAAAAGTAGTATAAGGGAAGAAGCGTGTCGTCACAAGGTAGGGTACAGAGCAGAGACGCAAAGCTGGATGATGAAATTTTGTGGCACTTGGACTTGCTCAATTGGAGCACCTCTATACAAAAAATGCATCCCATCAATTTAAAAAATAATACTTAACATTTTTATTTTATTTTTATTTAAATTATATGCAACACTTGTTTTTAAATAATAATAATGAAAAATGAATATTATCACACCAATATCATAATTAAATTCAATATTTCCTAAATATACTGGGCCAACCCAGCTCATTAATAGTGGGTCATTTAAATATTATATTTATATTTAAAAAATTCTCCTAATCTTTATCATGATGCAGAGAAACTTATTGACTCATATTTAAACTATTATAAAAAAAATATTTCAGACTTATAAACAAAAATCCTAATTAACGTCATCTATGAACATACAAAGAGGAAAAGAATTCTTCTAATCTTTATCATAATGCAGAGAAACTTATTGATACATCGTCAAAATAAATAATCCAAATATAGACTTTTTGTTTTATCTTTCAAAACAAATAACTTATTACATAAAAATAGGATATTACATAAAAATAGGATATGGTCATTTATTGAAACTCAATTTTCAATATGAACTAAACTAATAAAAAACTATCAAATGTTATAAAACGACATAAATATATCTTAAAGAACTTTTATTGTTAAAGAGCAATTGATAGTCATGGATAACAAGAAATTAGGGTATGAATAAACATTTTAAATCCTCTTTAATAGGGATACAAAATACTTTTTTAATCAACTTTATGGATTAATCACTACTAAAAATATTGCAAAAGGAGACCTTAAAAAAGAGACCTCAAAAATAGGTCGTTATTTGCATTAGTAACTTTTTTTTAATTATTTCTTAACATGAGAGACCTCGTGAGGTCAATTTCATAAAAAAAATCTGCCTAATTAATAATATAAGTGACTTATTTTACTTTTTTTATTTTATAGTATGTTTTCGTATAAAATATGCGACCTCACGAGGTCACTATTTGTTAAAATAAAAAATACTAACTTAATTTTAGATACCTCGTGAGGTCTCAATTAATTAGTCAAATTTGTTAAATAATATTTTAAAATAAGAGACCTTGTGAGGTCTCTTATTTTTATTAAATTAAAATAGGAGGCATTTTTAATTTAGCTCATCTTCTTTCCTGCTCTTCTCTTAAAAGCTAAAAAAAAGCCCTAACTTGTCTCTTCCCCATAGCTTTACAGATGTGTAGCCTCCGGTTATCACTCAGTTAGAAGTTTGAGTTTTCACCATCCGTTCGAAGTGTTAGTTTTCACCATCGAAACTCCCTCGGTTTGAAGCCCAAGCTTTCGTCGTTGATTCAAAATCTCTGTGTCGATTTCTTTCTCTGCAAATAAAGGTGAATCTTTCAATCTTTAAACCAAGTTGTAACTATATTGTTTGTTTATTGCAAGCATCCATCAATGCAAACTCTCTCTTTCAATTTACTGCAAGATTAATTAGAATTTGTGATTCTCTTTTCACTTCATGAACATATAATTAACTTTGGGTTTTACTCTTGTTCTATCTTAATGTCCTGTTTTGACTTCTCGTGATGATTAACATGAATGCTAGCAAGTTTTTATATCGTATAATTTAGAAGAAGATACATGGGTATTAATGAATAAAGAAATAAAATCTGTTATGAAGATTTTGTATTATATTTTGAGATTATTATACTTTATATCTCACTCTAAATAATTCCTAATAATCATGTGTTGAATTCTGATTTAAATTTAGAACTAATATCATTTTGGTTCATGTCTCTGTATGTATTTTAGTTGTTTTTTAACCAGAGGAGAGGAAAGTTATATATATATATACAGTATAGTCTATCGATATAAACCATCGTGCAACAATGAGCGAGGAGAGAAAAATTAAGAAACCATTGTACCCAGAAAGGTCCTTGACCCTTAATAGTGCATGTTGGCTTCATGTGATGCATCTGCTTTCATAGAAATATTGAACAACATATATGGTTGACATTGACTAAGTCATTTTAATTGCTGGTGTTCTATTGGATCTCCTTTAGAGCCATTGTTTCTTTCTGCAGATCTTACTACCAGCCTTGCGGTCGACTTTTCCGGTTAGTTATAAATTCGTTATAAAAAAATAGATATGCTTTCTTTTTTGTTCTTTGTTTATGAGAAACTAAGATGACATATGGATCTACCTATTGTTTTATTTGTTGTGGTAATGAGGAGAGGAAAGTTATATACATACTATAGCCTATAGATATAAACCATTGTGCAGTAATAAGGAGAGGAAAGTTAAGAAACCAGAAATCATTGTGCCCAGAAAGGTCTTTGACCCTTCTGTAATAGTGCCACCTTTCTACTATTCTTTTAATGATGTATTCTATTTAGATTTATTTAGGGAAGGGGACATTATTTGTGACAAACTGTTGAGAGAACTATGCTTTTGTAGTCACCAAAGATACATTTATTCATTTGCATAAGGCCTCGTTAAGCAGTCCCTACTAGGATTGTTACAATTTGAGTTTTAGTAAATTATTACATAATTTAGTGTTTGACAAATTTAAATTTTTGTGATCTTTATGTAGATGGATCGTAGTTGGATGTATAATATGACTAATTTTGGTTGAATGGGACTAAGACCTAAATTTGGAGAAGGTGTCACTGGTTTTGTGGAGTATGCAAAGACACTAGAACCTTTTCAACGTAGTGGTATGATTAAGTGTCCTTGTAATAAATGTCAATGTTTGAATTATGAAAAACCAGATATTGTTGAGCTTTATCTCTATCGAAATGGGTTTAAAAGAGAATACACAGTGTGGACTAGTCATGGAGAAATTGAAAACAGTTTTGATGTATTTCAACATTATGTTCCTGGTGAAAGTAGTAGCGCAGTGAATTCTAATGCACAAAATTATAGAATGCATGACATGGTTCAGGATGCGTTTGGGGTGCATTCTGATTTTGAATCTGGTAATCAAGGTGAGGAAGCTCCTAATGCTGAATGTAAAATTTTCTTTGAACAATTGGAAGCTCTAGTCGGCCTTTATATGAGGGGAGTCCACACTCGCAGTTGTCAATTGCTGTTAGATTAATAAGTATCAAATCAAATTGGAATGTTCCGCAAGGGGCAATGGACTCTGTGATTGACCTTATGCATGATTTAGTTGACCCAAAGCTAGAGATACCTGATAATTTCTTTAAGGCAAAGAGGTTGGTATCAAAGTTAGGATTGTCATCGATGAGAATTCATTGTTGTGAAAATGGTTGCATGTTATACTATAAGGATGATATTGATCTAGAATCGTGTAAGTTTTGTGGAAAATCTTGTTATAAGCAGACTCCTAGTGGGAAGAAAGTTCCTATTAAGGCGATGCATTACTTACCTCTTATACCAAGGTTAAAGAGGTTGTATGCATCTAATAGATCTGCTCCTCATATGAGATGGCACCATGAAAATAGAAGACCACCTGGTGTTATGTGCCATCCTTCCGATGGAGAGGCCTGGAAGCATTTTGATAGAACATATCCACAGTTTGCAACCGAACCACGGAACATTAGATTGGGTTTATGTTCAGATGGATTCACGCCACATTCTGTTTCTGCTGCACCATATTCTTGTTGGCCTGTATTTGTAACACCATTTAATCTTCCACCTGAGATGTGCATGACCAGTCCATATATATCTCTCAATTGTGTCATTCCTGGCCCACGGAATCCAAAAGTCTTGATTGATGTATACTTGCAACCTTTGATTGATGAGTTGAAACAATTGTGGGTTCAAGGGGTTGAAACATTTGATGTGTCTCTTAAGCAAAATTTTAATTTGCGGGCTGCCTTAATGTGGACTATTAATGATTTTCCTCCGTATGGAATATTGTCAGGGTGGATCATGAGTTTAGGAGTATGAAAAATGCATTCAGAAAGAATACTGTTGAACAAGGTTGTCCTCCTCCAATCTTGACTGGAGAACAAGTTTGGGAGAGGGTTCAACAATTTCCAAAGGTTACAGAAGAACAGCTGTACAAATTTGATGGATATGGTGTTGCACATAATTGGACAAAACAAAGCATATTCTGGGAGTTACCATATTGGAAGGATAATCTACTTCGACATAATCTTGATGTCATGCATATCGAAAAAAATTACTTTGATAATTTATTCAACACAGTAATGGATGTCAATGGCAAGACAAAAGATAATGTTAAAGCTAGAATGGACTTACCAGAATATTGTAGGCGAAAAGAGTTATGGTTGCAAGAGAAACAGAACAACAAGTTCTTCAAGCCTAAGGCTAGTTATTCATTTACATTGGATCAAAAACGTAAAATATGTGAATGGGTCGAGCAACTTAAGATGCCTGATGGGCATGCTTCAAATTTGGGAAAACGTGTCGATATGGAGCACGGAAAATTACATGGTATGAAAAGTCATGATTGCCATGTCTTCATGGAAACATTACTCCCCATTGCATTTAGTGGCTTGCCCGATAGAATTTGGAAACCTATGACTGAAATTAGTTTGTTCTTCAAGGACTTGTGTTCTAATACGTTAAGGGAAGACAACCTAGTTCAGATGGATCAGAATATTCCTATAATTACAAATAAGTTGGAGAAGATTCTTCCACCTGGATTTTTCGATGTGATGGAGCATCTTCCTGTACATCTGGTGCATGAAGCACGCCTCGGAGGTCTGGTTCAATATAGATGGATGTATCCATTTGAGAGGTAAGTGTTTAACTCTTAATATTTTTATATCACTATTTTGTTAAAATCAATGATAATATAATATAATGTAGGACTATTGGAGAGTCTAAACGGGGCATGAAGCAAAAACTTAGACTTGAAGGCTCAATGGTTGAATTCCATCTTGCTAGGGAGATAGCTGATTTTGGTTCTTATTACTTCGAAAGTAGTGTGCCATGCTTTCAAAATAGACCCAATCACCATGACGATGGTGGTGAGACTATAAAGCCACTATCAATCTTCAATCAACCAGGCAAAGGTTCAAAAAAACGTACAAGGAGGAATCTTAGTGCCATGGAGTTTAAGTCTGCATCGACACATGTCTTGTTGAATTGCCCACAAGTTAAACCATTTCTTGAGTAAGTTGTTGTTTTTGCACTAAAATATGTAATTACAAGGCAAAACAACTAACTCAATATCCATCTTCTTTGACAACTACTTTGTGTATTTATTTGGCAATGAAAAAGTGTTTGAGCATTTCTCAAAGTGGTTTCAAGATTACGTAAGTCTTATAATATTTTCATAATACTATCATTATTAAATAAATCTATATTTAATTGATAACTAATTTCCTACTTTTCAAATATTTATAGATTTATGATACAAAAAATGGTCAATTTGACCAATTTTTGAAGGACCTTTCTTGGGGACCCATCAAGATTTATTCAATGGACAAGTATCTTGTAAATGGTTTTAAATTCAATACTGAAGAATGCTCCAAATATAAAAAAAACTAACAATAGTGGAGTTTGGGTGAAAGGTGGTGATGGAAATCAAGATGGAGTTGATTATTATGGGGTACTCAAGGAGGTTTTGGAAATGGAGTATTCCGGTTGGCCTATAAAAAAATTGTATTGTTTAGATGCAAGTGGTTTGATCCAACCCCAAAAAGAGGTACGAGAGAAATCAAACAATATAATATCATTGAAGTAAAGCACACAAGGGAGTATGAAGCATATGATCCTTTCATTATTGCACAAAATGTTAAGCAAGTGTACTATGCTCCTTATCCCTTACATCCAGATAAATTAGATTGGTGGGTGGTGATTAAAACCAAACCCATGGGTCGTGTGGAAGTTGAAAACGTGTTGGATGTTGCGTACCAGGATGATGATATATCAAGTGCTCACCATACCGTGGATGTTGAATTAGAAAATGATTTAGAGCATCCTGAACACATATTAGAAGAGGTTGATATAGAACAAATAACAGATGAAGGGACAAATGCATCAATTAATGAAGAAGAGTTGTTCGATGAAGAAGAATGGTCAGAAGAAGAGGATGAAGAAGAGGATGATGATGAGGATGAGGATGAGGATGAGGATGAATAGTAATTAGTATGTTGAGTTTATATATATATATCTATATATTACTTTAGTCTTCTTCTTAATTATTTTATATTGCATTAGTAAATTGTTTCTCGATTCTCTGTTAAAGTGGATCCCCAATTTTTAAATTATTTCAAAAGTAAGTATGTGGTTCTTGTACTTTTAGTTGTTAATTTAATTTAAATGAGGTTATTTGGTAGTTTTTCATAGAATGCATAGCTTATTTATTAGGTGTATTTAAGTTGTCTTGATATGATTTAAATCACCCCTTGAGATCAACAAGATGTATGTGACCACCTATCTAATATATTAAAATGTTAGAGATGATATACTTTAAGTTCCTTAACTTATATCTTCAACATTTTCGTTTCTTCATGTTGTTACTAGTACTTGTTGGCTTTAAATGTGCTTCTATAGTTTTAGAACTCAGTCATTTCTGACAGACGGCAGAACTGATCGCATATATGGGTGAGAATCAAACTAATACTTTGAGTTAGAGAGAATTTTTTTAAAAAAAGTTACAAGAGAGTATTGAATGGATGAAATCTGCAAGTGAGTATTCTGATTACCTATCTCTAACCAGCGTCTTGAACTGCTCTAAGAATTATATATTGTATCTGTATCACCATTTGCTTTTTGATTTGGTAGATGTGTCTTGTTTATGTTACACATTTGATATCATCAACTTTGGTCCATGATAAATAGGGCCCTGATTTTCAACCTAAACCATGATAACACTTGCTTAAATGAACTAAACTCAAGGTAAATTGATAACACTTGAATTGAATTAAACTCAAATGTAAATGTTGTGATATCCTGTCCTACAATCCCCTAAGCAGCCTTGAAAAACCCTCTCCATAAAAAGAAATTAATCTTTATAGGCAGCCCTTTAGTCCATATATAGTCAAAGATCTGTATTTTCTCCTGTTTCCGTCTTAATTCATTCCATGCTGATTTGACTGTGAACTTTCCATTTGAATTTCCCATTCACCATGATGTGTCATTATCTACATTGACTAGTTGTGGGCTGATGTTATCAAGTATATGCTCCGTTAAGTCCGTAAACTGCTTGCTTGACTTCTTCTAGGTCTGGTAGTTTTGTAAGGAAATCATTCTGCTCAATGGTGACTAAGGCTAGAATGTTTTGTAACATATCATAGTTGGTTGGCCTGTTGTGTCAAAGAATAATTTTGAGAAAGTCAAAAATAAAATGAATCACTCATTTCTTTATAGTTTGCTTGTCATTGAAGGCATGCTTGCTGCTTTAACTTTGGCAATCTAGTAATTCCCTTATCAGCTTGAAAATGATAGTTTCCTACTGGAATTAGCATTGTCCTGTAATTCCCTTGCAATTGAGTGCTTTTCTTTTTCTTTGCTCAGTCAAACTAAATATGGACATTGGACATAGTCACAAAAACAACAATATAATGCCAAAAAGGTCTCTGAATATTAGCAACAAGGGGAGAATGAATCTCCATCCTAGGAATAAAATGATGTTAATTAAGAGAAGCTACTCCTCACACCCCACCAACCCCTAGTTCACTTATTTTGCGTTTCACCTTTCCCTTTTCTAAATGAAATTTACTTATTTTTTCTTTGAAGTTGTTCTTATTTGATAGATGAAATGACATAACAAACATTCATGAACATAACAAAACACACCTGTAGTTAATTCAATTTCAGCTTTAGTTAATTTTTATTGAGACTTTACTTGTTACGTAAATTTCTAACCTCATTTGACTTGAATGGTTTTGTTACTTAGATGGCAGGTGGTAATAAGAATAAAAATATTGATAATGCCCCCAAAAAGAAAAAAAAGAAGGATGGTATGATTAGTAGACGACCGATAGGGATAAGTATAAGATCAGACTCTACAAATTCTCTCCCATCAAGAGACACTCTGATACATTGCTATTCTAAGCAGACCGAGCCTTATAGTCGGGTGCCTCCACATATTAATCCTCCGTCGACCTATATGCATCCACCATTGGAATATATTCAGCCACCCCCCCACATACTTGTGCCCACATCAGGGTATGCTACCCCACATGGATACAGTGTTTTGCCTCCAGAGGCTAACCGACCAACATCTAGTGACTCTCGCACAGTTACTCACAACCCTATAGACTCACAACCTTCATCATCATCTTCTTCACAACTTGGGATGTCGAGTCTTCGCCTTCAAGGTAATGGTTCGGAGCCTAACACTCCTACCACAAATCAGCCAGCTACACCTGGTCGAGTCCTTACACAAGTTGGCGTGAGAGATATGCACAATAGACTTGTCATCGAGCCTGACGGCTATACGTAAGATTTTATTTTTTACAAAATATCCTATGTTTATGATTGTCTCATTTAATTGTCTTTGTTTTAACCTGTAACTGTTAAAATTTTGTATTACAGTTTTAATCCAGATGATGCTGTGGGGATCATTTCTCAAGCTATCAAAGATCTCTATAGAGATGCTTTTCCGACTTGGGGAAAAATGCCAAGCAATCTCAAGAGACAATTTTTTTTGGAGTTTATAGTATATTAAAATTTATTGCTTTAACACTATTTAAATACTTGTCTTCAATAATACTTATTAATTGAAAATTTTATGGTTTCATTGCAGAAAAAATGTGCTTGGCGTCCCGAACATGAGACCAAAATTTGTGCAAACTTTCACAAGAAAGCTGCACGTGTTCTCGCTAGTTTGTTGATGAAAGCTCGTAAAAAGAATAAGAATCCTCGGTGGATTCTACCGGAGGATTAGAAAAAATTACTTGTGCATTGGGTGAACGATCCAAGATTTAAGCAGATGAGTGAGATCGGTAAGAAGGCTAGATCATCTACTAAGGGTGGTTCTCTACACACAAGTGGGGCTCAAAGTCAAGGAAGTGTGAGGAGGAAATTGGTATGAATCATTTTTCTTAATTTAAAAAAAAAATATTTTAGGTATTAATATTTAATTACTCTTGATTATAACTTAATTAGTTTTATATGTAGGAAAAGGAACTAGGAAGACCAGTAACCCAGGCTGAGGCATTCAAGGCAACACACATAAGAAAGAAGAAAAATCCGGAAGATCCAGACGTGTGGGTTGAGCCGCGAGCTGAATTGACCTATGTAAGCCTCTAATTTAATATAATAGTTACTTATTTTATAAATTTATAGTCTAATAATAATACCATTCAATTTAGAATCGATATCTTCAAACTTTGGAGGATTTACGACAAACTCAACCAGAAGAAAATCGAGGTATGCCACTTAGTCAAGAACAGGCTGAGAGAATGTGGCTAGACTTGATTGGTGGGCCGAGTAGATATGGGTATGCCTATGGAATGCCTCAACAGACCTTTCGTGAATATCATTCTGAGTTTGAAGGCTTAAGTAGTTCCTATGATGATGAATCGATGAAGAAAAATTTGGCTATGGAGCAAAAGATAGCGGAGCTATCTAGCCAAGTCGAAGACTCGCGGGCTAGGAAAAGGCGGAGGGACATAGAGTATGCAGGTCTTAAGGCTCAATTAGATGCATTACTTGCTTCAGGAGGGATTCCCCCTTGTTCCAATGATGTCACTTTCCCTCCTCGACCCTCCCAGCCTCAACCTACTCGATATCCAGTGTATGGTCAACAAAGAAATATGCAGATGAGTCTAGTAGTGATGAAGAAGATGAGGATCATGTGGCAAACACACTACCGCATTAGTGAAGTTTAGAGTTGTAATAGATAATCTAAGTTCTTTACTTTATGACTGTTTTATGGGACTTATTTGTTTTGTGAATACATGATAACATTGAAATCCTATTATATAACTTTTGGATTTTATGGTTTTTCTTTCAATTTCGAATTACGTTGAAGGTGAGTTGCATATTGTGTTGATAAGAGAATATTTAGTAAATGTATTGTATCAGTTGATTGTTGAAAGCTTGATTTAGCTAATTAGAAATGTATTGAATTAATATGACAGGTGATGAGCAGCTGCAAAAACAGATACAAACTGCCAGTTTTTTTCTAGGAAAAGAGACCTCATGAGGTCACTTTTTTACATT